TGAGTTGATACTTTACATACATACAAACTTTAAAACAGCTCATGATCTGAGATAATAATAGACATTCACTGTCTGTTATATTTAACAATATATATTTAAATAATGATCTGCTGCCCCAATGCACTATATATATATATATATATATATATATATGAAGAAATATACTCTTAAGGTGTGCTATATTTATGGGATAAAGTACTCAATATCAGAGATAGAGTGTGTGTAAATATAAAAGTGAACATTGAAGTCAACTCTTAGAGGTGACAGGCTGATTTATGCTAGACGTAATAGTCAGGCTATGTGTGTTGTTTTTTTTTCTCAGCTATTTATATATATAGGTCAGTGGTGCATTGTGGGTAGTCTATTTTGGCAGTTATTTTGCCAGAAGTCATTTATTTGTTGTTATTTTTTAAATGACTTCCGGTAAAATAACCACCAAAATAGACTACTGACAATGCACCACTGACCCGTATATATAAATAGCCAAAAAAACAAAACACTAAACATGGCCTGATGATTGCGTCCAGCTTGAAACAGCCTGTCGCCTCTAAGTGTTGACTTCAATGTTCCCTTTTATATATATATATATAATATGTGTGAAATAATTTATTTCATTGCCTTAGCTTTAATTGTATTAGTTTTTAGGATGTTGTAAATATAAAATTATTCTTGTAAATAAACCATCTAATAAATAGTGTTTAATATTTTTGTTGTAAATTCTCAAGAACAAAAAAAGAAATATAAATTCATTTTCATCATATGTTTATGTTTGATTCAAATTCTAATCATTGCTTAGTATTATGAATGGCACAAATGAAAAAACACAGAACTCTTACTCTGGTGTTAAATTTGAAAAAAATTTATATTATTAAATGACATGAAATGCCATAATAATATAGAATACAACATTTATGAAACAAACTTGCTCAAAATTTTCCTTTGTGCACCAAACACTTAAGTAAGATAACAAATTCTAATTACAATTCTGTTGGACTCATAAAAACAATTATTATTATTTTCAACAAAATATTCACTTAGTTCCATTTATTCAACTGTCAAAAGGAGTTGAGAAGGTTGACAATTCACTGGGTTTCTGGTTTGTTTATTTTTTAGACAAATTGAGATTCAAAATTGAGATAAAAATTGAATTTTTATAAGTACAATATTAGGGTTAATACCTCAGATATTTGTAACAAGCTTTCGCAAATGACAATAGAAAGATAATTGTATATCTCTCTAAATCTGAAAAATCTTTCTCTTTCTTTCATCTTCTTTTTCTTCCCTTTCATTGTCATTGTTTTCAACTTAGTTTTCCTTACAGTATTTACATTAGTCGGAATATTGTCCTCATATTTGTCGCCATATTTGTCACAATGTTTCGGCCGTTGTACGCTCCGGCCTTCTTCAGGTGGTTGGAATTTTGAACTGAACCCTTTATTTCGATCACTGGGGTAGACTGTTCTAGTTCCACATGACATGATGGATGTCAGTTATCAGTTATCTCCTGCTAATTTTTCCTCTGAAAGTTCTCCACTGCCTTAACCAGGAATTGAACTCACCTTCTTTTGGGTCTGTCACTGGATCTAACCAATGCCTTTATCCACTGTGCCATGTGTCCTTGAGGCCATCAAACATGGCACATGGAACTAGAACAGTCTACCCCAGTGATCGAAATAAAGGGTTCAGTTCAAAATTCCAACCACCTGAAGAAGGCAGGAGCATACAACGGCCGAAACGTTTTGACAAATATGGCGACAAAGATGAGGACAATAGTCCGACTAATGTAAATACTGTACATAATAGCTCATCTCAGAAATATAGACAGACTTAGTTTTTCTTAGTTCAGTTCTGAGAAACAGCCCACACTCATTCACCTTTAAAAGTCAATACCCTTCTACTTTCTGACATAAACCCTTCTGCTTTTCTTATACAGATATTTAAACACTATAACCACTCTGAAGATGGTTCATGTGAGCCAAAAGTTTAGATCAAGGTCCAACTTAATAAAAAATATCCTAGTGTTGGATAATATTTTTTTTCATTTTCACTCAAAATTAAAGCAAACATACAAACTTTAGAACAGCTCATGATCTGACATAATAATAGACATTCATTGTCTGTTATATTTAACAATATATATATATATATATATATATATATCTGCTGCCCCAAAACACTATATATATAATACATATATATATATGAAGAAATATAGTTTTAAGGTGTGCTATATTTATGGGATAAAGTGCTCAATATCAGAGATAGAGCATATGTAAATATAAATTTAAAGTGAACATTGAAGTCAATACTCAGAGGCAACAGGCTGTTTCATGCTGGACGAATCGTCAGGCAGCCTGACGATTGCATCCAGCATGAAACAGCCTGTCACCTCTGAGTGTTGACTTCAATGATCACTTTTATATATATATATATATATATATATATATATATATATATATATATATATATATAGAGAGAGAGAGAGAGAGAGAGAGAGAGAGAGAGATAGATAGATAGATAGATAGATAGATAGATAGATAGATAAACTTTAATTACTTTTACATAATTGTACATTTCTTTTTTATTATATAAATATTTATACACTTAAAAATTGCAGTAAATATTACTGATATATTATTTACAAAGCTTGACTTAATATAAGCACAAGACCATAAGCTTAGGGTACTCAGTGAAATTTGAAATGAATTATGTAATGATCTGAGACTGATTTCTCACCTACCATTACACTATGGCGAGGCACTCATAGATAATAATATGTATGAAATAATTTATTTTCTCACAGGTTTTTTGTGTTATTGATAATGTTGTTCTTAGATAAATTTCAATCAATTTTTAACTTATCTCTGAAGTTAGAAGTGTGGTTAGTTAGGGCGGAGTAATCAGCTGTAGCTAACCTTAACCTAGTAAATATGGTGTACTTTTAATAGAAATTCATTTTGACAGCTGAAAAATGAAATTTTAAAATTTCAGACATTTTTAATTGTTATTTTTTAATTCTTTTAAAAAACTTTTCCAATCTCCTCTCTCTTCATATATTAAAGTTATAAAAAGATTTATTTATTTTTTAAAAGTTATTTAAATATTAATTTATTTTTAATTTGTTACTTTTTTTATATTTTAAATTAAAATATAACCCGAAAAAAAATTATGTATGAGTATTACTATTGAATGCAAATGAAAGAACGTGCTATCACTTCCAATTTGAATTCAACTAGTAGTAGTGTTAAAAAAACGAAACGCGGATTTGTTAGAATATTTCATTATTTGTTTAAAATTTAAATTCAACTACAAAATATTATTAGTAAAAAATACCAACTAAATATAAAAATAAATAAATGGTAATAAAGTTTAATTATTAATTTTAAAAAAAATTGTTTTGAAATCTCATCCGAACGCGTGTTCGAATACACCCGGCTATTTCACTCATAATTCCTTTTGAGTCAGTTTTTGTTTTGTTTTTTTTAATTGCAATTTGGCTAAATGTGTTAATTTTTAATCGGCATAAAATAAATTTTAGCCCCCCCCCATGGAATATTTAAAGTTTTTGTAACTTGTGCAAATCAGAATAAAATAGATAATCGATTAGTTAGACCTGGACTGTGTCGCCTTTTAGCGGAAGTAAAAACCAATCGAGTGAGAGAAAACTAATAGACGAGCCTCGACAAACCAACTCGTGTTACGTTTTTTTTTTTTTCAGTTGTCATAAAACCAGCCAAGCGATCACAGTATATGTTGGTTCTTAATATATAAATTTCCCAACTGTGAACCAACGCTCATTTACATGTCGCTACGTTGAGGACCGTTTTTTTTTTTTTTTCCACAGTAGGGTCGCCGTTTTTAGGACGAAGTGCCATGTTCCAAAGAACGGTTTCAGCCCAGGACCCCAGTGTAATTCTTACAGTATTACATACAAGAACTCTTATTATTGTTGCAGTTCTACTTTCTTTTGTTTATTCATCGTCATTTACGATGATATTGTCCAAGTTTAAAGCTAACTGTTGGAATGAATCTGATTCTTTTTTGCGGGGGAATAACTTTCGCGAAATGCAGGAACACAAATTCTTCAGTGGGCTGATTGTAAAATGGTTGTTAACAAGTTAAAAAAAAGTTTAAGAATAATGAAAATAACCTAAAAAAAAAAAAAAAAACTTTTACTCAGTTTGAAGAAGTGGGTGATGAAGACTGATGCTTCAGGCTTGTTGAAAACAAAACAACTCATTTTTGCTTTCATTTTTAGAAAAAAATAATAGCAAAAAGATAACATTTTTAAAACTTGGACGTTGTTCGTAAAGTTGACACAAATACTTTTTTATCTTAAAAAAATATCTATCTTTAAAGAAAAAAGTTAAAATAGTTCAAGAGACGTAAACTAGTCTTTCTTTTGTAATGGAAGATAAACTCTTTAAGAATTTGAAACAACTTTGTTGAAGAAAAGAAAAAATCGTAATCAATTTTTTACATTTATTTCACAAGTGCTTGTAAAATCGATGATTTATAATTTTACCAACAACTTGAACGGTTATTCCATCCTAGATATACTGTTTTAAATAATTACTTGTTAAAGTTGTTAAAAAAAACAAAAACAATGTGAGGACTTTATTTAAAAGTCAAATTAAAAAAATGTGAACAAAATAGTTGAGAAACAAGCTTACAAAAAGACTCCTTTCATAACATATATTTATTGAAGAAACCAAAAAAAAAAAATCTACAAAGTAAGCACTAACTAAATATTTTTATACTTTGTAACTTTAGTAAAGAAAAAAATATTTTTTTTAAATCTTGAAAAGATAAACCAAAAAAAAATACTTAGGAAGCAAAAAAATTCTATAAAGTTTTTTTATTAAAGAAAAAAAAACTGGACAAAGTGGGGGAAAAAGAAGAAAAGTTAAAAAAAAGTAAAACAAATGCATAACACATCTTTGACCAATTCAACCTCATCACCGTCGTCTGGGACAATTTCATCCCGGCACGGACTCCACATGGCAGGTGGCCACTCCTCAACCATAGAAGATGGCTTCTATAGTGACCCCTCAACAGCGGCTAGCTGTGGTCACATGTCCATTGTTTCCCTGACCGTCATTTCCATCATCTGCCTGTTGTTAATCTTCTTCAGAAATTACATCAAGGACCTCCTCCTTTGGCTGGAGACGACGGATGCAATGGTCAGTTACATAGCCTTTCTTTGTATGTTCACTCTTGTGTCATTCCCCGTGGCATGGGGTTACTTCTTGCTTCTTTTGACCACTGGATATGTGTACGGTTTTCTGCGAGGCATCATGGTTGTCCTGTCATGTGGGGCCGTCGGGGTAACTGTTGCGTATTTGGTCCTCCGGAACTGTTGTCGGTGCATTACTGTGAGATTTTACAGTAAAAGACTAGAAGCTGTCATTAAGGTTGTCGAAGGTCCACAAGGATATAAAGTAATTGCTTTGGCCAGGCTAACACCAATTCCTTTTGGCTTACAGAATGGACTCTTTGGTGTAAGTTTCTTTTCTCTTTTTTTTTTTTTTTTTTTTTAAACAATAATACACTGCCACCAGAAAATACATTTTTCATCCCGAATATCAAAAAAAAAAAAAAAAATCCATAAAATTTTATAAAAATCAATAGAGGAGGGTAGTTAATTGTAAATTCAATTTTAATGTAAAATAATTCCACCTTGATAAGCCAATTAAAAAAACAATAGAGATGATCTTAGGATCATACGACGTTATTTTTTAAAATGTCAAAAATAAAAATTTAAAATAAATTCATAATCTGGAGTGCTTAATCAACAGTCTAAAAAAAAAAAACATCTCCAGGTTACGAATTTAATTTTTTTTTAAAGAAATCATGTAGTCTGGGCATATTTTGTTTGGGTTTCCGTCGGGGGATTAATTTAAAAAATGAATTTACATAGCAAACTGGACCCCCTATTAACTTTTAGAAAATATTTGTGATCTGTAATAATAATATGAAAAAAAAAAAATTTCTGGTTGCAGTGCCGATTGAACAATTTCACCCCCCCCTTCAACAAAATTGTGAAAATAGAAAATTACTTTTTTTTTTCTTTTCCAAAGGTAAAAAAAAAAGCGTAAAACTCTGTAGTAGTGTAAACAATTGTCAACTAAATGTCTAGGCACTTAAGTTAGTAGTTTTCTGTTTTAAAACCCCGACGATGAAAGTAATTGTTAAAAAAAATGAGGTTAACCATTTAAATTTAAAAAACTCAGATGTTTAGTTTACTTTATTTTCCTACAAAAATATTTCTTTATTAGTTTTTTTTACTTTCTTTATGCTTTGAAGTCTGAATGACTATGGTCATCCTTATTTTGGGAAATTAACTTTTTAGTTTTTAAAGATATTTTTTTATTTCTCATTTTTACGCAGGGGTTGGGTCTACGGAAATCAGTTTTTTATGTTTTAGTCCATAACGTTCACAATTTTAAACTACGGAAACCTAAGAAAATTACATTTTCGTTAGTTTTTTTTTTTTTTTTTTTTTTTTAATTTTAAAATGCTCACCGTTTGAATTTCTAAGACTAAGAGTTTTCATAGGAGGGGTAACAATATGTGAAAAAAAAAAATTATTACTTTAAAAAAACATTTAATTTCAATCATTTATGAATAGTTTCTGAAAGTGTCATTAAAATTCGACAATTTCTTTTGTTTTTGCAAGATTTTACAATTCAATGTCTGTCACTGCAAAAAAAAAATGCGCTAAAATTTACTATGCTATTTTTTGTGATACTGACGCAACGGAAAACAAGATTTTCTAATCAAAAGTTAAAAAGAATGGAAACATTTAAATTAAAATAATCAAAATACTTTGATCTTTCTTTTCTCTTGATAACAAACATTTTTACGATAAAACGTTGTTTTAATTTTTTTTTTTTTTTTTTTTAGCAAAACCGTAGTATTAGTTACCTACTTTTAGTTTATTGATACTTTTTCAACCCAATCTGTAGCATTATCAAAACCCCAGCCCGAAGTTATCAATTCTTCTTTTCTTAGCCTACACCGGATAAAAGGCATACACAAAATCAGGGTCCAGTTTAACAACAGTATAGTTCTTGCATTGCAATGTGCAGTTTTTTGGTGTTTTTTTCTTTTTTTCAGTATGTGACACGAAGTCAGGGTACAGTCTGACATTACATTTTTTACACTTACACTATTGTAAAATTGAGCCACTTCGTTTCCACTTTCCACTTTAAAAACTTTTTCTCGAAAGTAAACTTGTTCCCTTCAAAATAATGACCACTTTTATGAAGAGACATCTGCAAAAAAAAAAAACCCAAAGTCATTTTTGTAGTTGAATAGCTAAATCTTTCTTGGGAAGATATTATTAAAAACTTTACTTCTGTTTCATTTTAACTTAAAATCTTACTTCTATAAAAAACAAAAGTATTTTCCATTAGACTTTTTTTTTTTTTTTTTTTTTTTTTTTTTTTTTTTTTTGTACACTGAAAAAAATCCATAAACCATAATATAATTAATTCAATAAACATTCAGTAGTCACGAAGTCATTAAATGAGGCATATCTGTGATGATAAATTATATGTACAACCTTTGTAATTTCCTTAGCTATTTTTCATAATAAACAAGAAAAGAAAATTCATGCCAATATACACCAGAATCTGTGTAGTTGGATCATTTCTTTGTAGCTTTGATGCTTATTAGCAGACTTCTGCAACCGGTAGTTATCCAATTCTGTCTCTGAAAACAAAACTCGACTTAAAAAAGAATGGTGTTTCTTCTTCAAATAGACTGATAAATTTAATAATCTCTATTTTCCAGTTTGGTTAAATTGACAGTTTTTAACTAATTGCCCATTTTTGTCACCATGTTCTTCGATCTATTCTAACAAAGCTTTTTTTTATTTTTTTTTTTAACTGTCTGATTTTTTTCCACAGCACTTGTCTCTATTTTTCAGTTTCTGCTTATTTAAAGTAGCAAGTACGATAAAAAAAAAACGTGAGCATTAATTAGAAGGCAAAATAAGGCCTGCTTAAACAAAAAAAAATTAAGACAACTGCCCAGTGTTAGTTGTGATTAAGCCCATTATTTTGAATTGCCTTAATCTAAACAATCTATAAAAAAAAAAATCAAAGCTAAGGGAAATTTTTCTTAAATATTATGAAATATGCAACATGGAAAAATAAAATGCAAGAACTAGCAGATACAGTGAAGTGGTGCTCGAGATTCACAAAAGTTTAAGCTCTAGTTTTCAGTGGAAAAAAAGACTACACAGGTTTTACAATCAGAAATTATGAAATTTAATGATTTTTAGTCCATTTTGTTATTTTTAGTTATCTTTTTGAATTTGCCTCTACAGTTGATAGTACTTGAAAAAAAATATGTAAATTTATGCATTACATGAGTGGTGAAAGTGGAAAAGATATAAACTCCTCATTTACTTTCTTGTTATCCTTTGTTTTGGATACATCCCCCCCCTATATATATATATATATATATATATATATATATGCTCAGGTTATAGGAATGAATTAAATGTGTTGATTTAATTTTAAGCAAAACTTAGTCTAACTTAAATAATTTCATGTTCCTAAGTATCTGTTTTACTGTTAGGCAATTTTTAGAGAAGTTGGATAACTTGAAAATAAAATGTGTGATTTGAGTTTTTTTTTTTTTTTTAAAGATATTCAAACTTTCTAACTAAAGTTATTCACTTCAATTGACCCCCATGGTGTATTTATTTTTAGTCCTGTAACTGAGATTGAAAAACTGTCTTGTTAACCATTACACTATGGTAACATAATTAACTTTGTAGGCCATTTATGCTATGGTAGTCACCTAATTATTTAGTTGACCTCAGCTCTGCTAGTTAAGTGGGATGGTAAGGAGAAGATTCTAAATGGAGAGGACCTGCTTGATTTGAAGATCAATAATCAATCACAAACTACTGGATCAGAAGGAATATATGACTACCGTAATGGTATATGAAAGCACAAAGTATATATATATCTGAGGGTACATCAGTAAGTCTCTACTATAGCCTGATACAGTTATTAGTTGATTTTTGATCTAAAAGTTTCGCTGTATAATATTTGATCTATGTAATTAATATTCATCCCTGAATTAAATGTATTTATTAGGAATTAGACGATGTTGAAAAATGTTGTGTAAAATAAATGCATAGTGTATCATTGTGAATTTGACATATCCGTTCAAAATAAATTTCATTTTGTGGTTATTACAAATTTATGAAATTAATATTTGGGGATGGGGGGAGGTGATAAATGCTCCTCCCCCCATTATTAGGCTATGGAGTTACTGATTTATCTATATAATAATATATATTGTGGTATATTATAGTATTAGAAAGAAATCTCTTTCCCAATTAATGTAAAATTTGTATCCTTTTTATTTTAATATATGAAAAAAATCTTCATTTGTATTCTTCTGTCATCAGCTCTACAATGGCTTGGTTATTTTTTTAATAAAATTTTACATTGAGGCTCATTTTCAGTTTGTATTGGATGAAGATTATATTGTTCTTTATTTTTAAAAATTTCTTGAAAATCTGGTAGGTGAAAATAAATAAATATACTGTTTAATAAATAAATGGAGTGTCTACTCATGAGTATCTTACTCAAAATAACATTTAAAATGATAAAAAAATGTCAGATTAATAAAAATCAATTCTAAAAAAATATCTTTCTTTACGTTTGGAGACAAAACTGTGTGCTGATATGAAAAACTTTGAGAAATCTATGACGGGAGAAATTTTGTTTGAAAGCATGAAATTGGATTCACCTGACCATCTGTTTCTTCATGGCCAAGCAGTAAGGTGCATCAGGCTAAATGGCGGCTTCCTCTACCCCAAGGGACACAGGTTCAATTCCTGCCAGAGTGTGCAAATTTTCTTTAATAAGATTTCTTCAACATTCAGGCTAGAAGGTGAAAATAAATAAATATTCTGTTTACTATGTAAATATTAAATAAATTCTCAAATATGAGGATCCCTTAAAAATAACATTTAAAGTGATAAAATATCTGTCAGATTAATTAATAAAAATCCATTCTAAAATTCTCTTTGGATGAAGATAATGTTCCTGAAAGTTTCCTTTGAGATTTTTTTTTTTTTATTTTTAAAGGACCAGAACAAAATCTCGCTCTATAATTTTTGGTAACATTAATTCCTAACTTCCTACACTACTAAATCCCTTGGTTTAACGCATTTGCATTCCAGACAGTTATTTGGTGTCAAAAATGACCTGAAATGGAGGGAAGTGGGTCATTTTATCTGAAATAATCTGCGAATGGTTTTAGAGGTGTATTCTTTACGATAATAATTCAGCTTATTCTTCCTTTAGTAAAATGAAAAATCAGAGAGCTGGGTTCAAATTCCAGTTGAGTTCATTATATTCACTTACATACAAATATCCATGGGAATAGATATGAATCCATCTTTGCTCTCCAGCTAAGGGTTAAATAGTAGGATTTGTATCGTGAAAAATCATTGTTCTCAAAAAATTGT